AAAAAAAAAAAAAAAAAAAAAAAAAAAAGAAGTGTGGCCTCAATCTGCATCCACTTAGCTATGAATGACTAGTTTCTTGTTCTTTATGGCTGAGTAGTACTGCATTTTATTTTTAAAAACCACATCTTCTTTATCCAGTCTTCAGTGGATGGGCAAATGGGCTGTTTCCAAGCTTTAGGTATTACAGACTGTGCCATTATAAACATGGGTGTGCATATATCACTGTGGTATGATTCTTTTAATTCTTTTGGAAAGATACCCAGCAGAGGGATAGCTGGGTCAAATGGGACCTCTCATTCTAGCTCTTTGAGGTATCTCCATATTGATTTCCATAGTGGTTGCACCAGTCTGCACTCCCACCAACAATGGAGAAGGGTTCCTTTCTCCTCACAACCCTGCCAGCATTTGTTATTGGTTCATTTCTTGATAGCAGCCATTCTTTGTGGGGTGAGGTGGAATCTCAGTGTTGTTTTCATCTGCATCTCTTGAATGACAAGTGATGTGGAACATTTTTTATATGTTTATTTGCTACTTTTACTTGTTTGTCTGAAAAATGTTCATTTCAGATGCCCATTTTTTAATCGGGTCTTTATATTTGTGGGGGTCTGGTTTTTTTTAATTCTTTGTATATTCTAGATGGTAAACCTTTGTCTGAGGAATAGCTGGTAAAATTTTTTCCCCACATTTTAGGATGCCTCTTAGCTCTGTTAGTGATTTCTTTTGCAGTGCAGAAGCTTTTAAAAAAGATGAGATCCCAGTTGTTGATTCTTGGTGCTAGTTCCCGTGCTACTGAGGATTTGTTTATAAAGTCTTTTCCTATGCCAATATCTCCAAAAGGTCTGCCTAACTTATCTTCCAGCAAGTTTAGTGTTTCTGTTTTAATATTTAGATCTTTAATCCACTTGGAATTTAGTTTAGTGCATGGTGAAAGATAGGGGTCTAGTTTTAATCTTTGGCAAGTTGAAATCCAGTTTTTCCAACACAGTTTATTAAAGAGGTTATCTTTCCTCCAGTGAGGATGGTTGGCTTCTTTGTCAAAGATGAGATAGCTGAGTATGTCTGGAGTTGTTTCTGTGTCTTCTATTCCACTTATCCTCAGGTCTGTTTCTTTGCCAGTACCATGCTGTTTTTATCACAGTAACTTTGTAATATAGTTTCAAGTTGGGGATTGTGATACCCCCTGTCATGTCTCTGGTTGCCTAGAATTGCTTTTGCTATTCTAGGTCTCTTCTGATTCTAAATGAAGTTTTAGATTGTTTTCTCTAGTTCTGTGAAGTATACTGTTGGGTTTTCAATAGGGATTGCACTGAATCTGTGTAGAATTTTTGGAACTAAGGCCATTTTCACTATATTGGTTCTTCCTCCCCAGGAACAAGGGATGCCTTTCCATTTTCTTATACCCTCTTTGAACTCTTTTTTCAGAGTGTTGTAGTTTTGTTTTATTTTGTTTTTGAGGCAGGGTCTCGCCATGTAGTTCAGGCTGGCTTTGAACTCACTGTGTAGCCTCAAAAACTCGAAAACGGCAGCCTAGCCTCAGACTCCAAGTGCTGGGACTGTAGGCATGGGCCACCACACACACTGTTTAGCTGATCTGAGCGTAGTGTCACCTGCTTCTAGGAGGCTGACTAAACCTACAAGGTCCAGACTTGTGGCCTGTCCTAATGTCTGCAGTCTGGCTAGCTGAGCAGGCCCCAAACAAGTCTCTGGTCCTGTGCCATTTGATTTATTTATTTGTTTGTTTATTCATTTATTTATTGGTACTGGGCCTCGAACTCGGGTCCTTGCTCTTGGGAGGCCGGCAGTGGAAGCACTGAGCTAAATCCCCGGCCATGTGCCATCTAACCGTTAGGGAAACTGAGGCACCAAGTAGGAAAGGGAGCCACTGGCCAGCTTTGACCCTGGTCTGGATCTCTGTGCTCCTCCCCGGACCAGGGACAGGTGGAG